TTTTTTTTCAAATAATGCTTTTTAAAAGATCTGTGTCCGTGTAGAAGTTTGATGCTGTTGTCTTCTTAACCATTTATTTGTCTTTACAGAGCAAGGAGGATAAGTACTTTATAAACGATCACTTGAGCTTTAGAATCATGTTTGTTAGAGATCATGAGACTGACTCTGCTCAAATTGTCAGGTTCGAGGTTTCTCCAAATAGGTGTTGTACCAATTTCCTGACTGCCTTTGTCTAACGTTCCATACTTTTTCTGTTTTGACCTTTTTTTGAATTGTGTTCTTACTTCTAAAGTAGTTTGTATGCAATTATGGATTCGTCATTTAGTTTGCAACTGAATAATCCTCTTAGAAAGAGGGGAAAGGAGAGGGTCTACTTTGAGCATGGCTAAGGCACTTTGTGAGCTTCAGTTGGAATTGCACCAGCAGTCTTCAAGTTTTGAGGTTGTTGAAGTTGGAAGAAAAACATGATGCAGGACTATAGTAGAAGCTAAGGGTGTGGATTTCATAATTATTGAACCCTCCCTCCATTCAACGAGGTGAGGTTCAGTTGAAATTGCACAAGTAGTCTTCAAGTTTTGAGGTTTGTTGCGAAGAGGTGGTATTGCTATTACCAATTCCTTAATGATTGAACCCTCTATCCAATCCACGAAGGAGTCTTTTCTGCTAAATCCTCTTTGTGTTAGTTTGATTGCATTGATTTAAGTAGGATTATCTTCTAACAGGGTTAGGTGAAAAGGATGCTGTGTTTGTCAGACAGTGAGGAGAAGAAGGTGAATGAGTTTCAGAAGATTGTTGAAGCAGTTGGAGTAAAAGAATCAGAATGCTTGAGGAGGTTCAGTGGGAGGGTGTTCAGATCCCCTACTTTGTTTGAGAATATGGTCAAATGCATTCTCCTTTGTAGCTACCAATATGTCACATCTATACCTCTCTCTCTTATTAGTGTACTGCATATTTCTTAATCAGTCATTGAATAATCATCCTTGGCATGGCTTCATTTTGCCACTGCAATCCATCTAGTGGCTTATGGCTTTCAAAATGGACAGCAGGGGAAACAGGGATGAGTGAGCAAGGGAATCAATTGGGTTAGCTAGGGTTCATAAACTGTAATATCCCAAAATTTTGGGGAATTTTAGCATTAAGTTAGGGGACTTATTGAGGAAAAATATTATTTTGGGGCTTAATCGTAAAATTTTCAAAAGTTTAGGGACTAAAAAGAAAGGAAATTAGGATAAGGATCAAGGCTGATATTTCTCTCCTCAGCGACGTGTTTTGCTCATCCTCATCTTCTTCTTCCCGACTCTTCCTCCCGACAGCCCACCCCCCCCAAGCCGCTCTAGCCACCGACTCATTTTTGAGAAAATTGGTGACCAAGCTTGGGATTTTCTCCTTCTTTTCTTGTTCTTGAACCCAGAAATCCCCCC